ATGGCTTGTAGTGCACATGGTGTTACTCTCCTATAGATATCCGATATCACAGACTTTTCCATTGTCCCTGCTTTGCACTTCTGTGGCGGCACCTGGCCAGAGAGATCTGTGACTTGACATATGGATAGTATAATTGGAGTTGGGCTTACCTTTCATGCTCGGGATGCCCCTTCTTGGCTTATTTTCTGAGGGCTTTTTGAAGGACCATTGCCCATTGATTGTTTGATCCTTTTGATTGAGAGAGGCTTTTGTTTGTTGAGACTGGGAAAGTTTGATACTGGAAGTCTGATATCGTGTAGAGGTGGCCACTCAAAGGTGCCATCCGGTCCATTAAGTCCGGTTCGTTAATTTTTATCAGCTGTCCGTTAAATTTCGTTGAAGAAAAAGGGAGAAAAATTCAGAAAAATCCAAAAAAATCCAAAAAAATCTAAAAAAATCCAAAAAAATCCAAAAAAATTTTAAAAAAACCCAAAAAATCACAACAACTGCGGCTAGTTGAAAATCTAGTATGCATAGGTTGAAATAAAATACAAACATACTCTCTAATATCGAATTCCATAAACTATAAGTATGACTAAAACCCAAAAATCCCCAAAAAATCCAAAAATCCGTTAATTTTTGGTTAATTTTTGTCTTTTTTCGTTATTTTCCGTTAATTAACGGAAAATTAACGGAAATTAACCTCTGTCCGCTATTAACGGATCCGGGTGGCCACCTCTAATATCGTGGCCCCATCGGCAGCCACTGGTTTCCGGAGGTGTTGGGGTCGCCTTGCCCTGCAGCTCGGCTATTGGAGGTCAGCTGGCCCTCTCCACCTTGGACAATGGGTGTATCCGGGGCAGTCATTCTTGTGGTCGTGCGGTGGGCCCAATGCTTGATGAGGATCAATCCCCGGGGCCTGCTGTCCGCGAGAGGCGGCGGCGCAGCGCGGCAGTGGTTCGTTGGTTTGCGGGAGGCCAGAATGTGGGCTAGAATGGTGTTATATGGATTCACTGCATGTGCGCGCACTTATCGCATATGTGATGCCCAAATCGTGGGTCCATTGCCATCACATCATGACAAGACAACACATGTGCACATCCAGGCATATTGTCATTGTCCCCAATTTACCCACGACCAACCCTATTTCTCTCTCAGCTTAAGTACTAGCCCTCTTCTATCAACAACCCTAAGTACAACAACTTTGCAGGGTCATAACTCTATTAATTCTGAAAGGATTTGGGCGTTTCAAAAGCCTAGAAACATCAAGAGCTTTTAAATGCCCATGAGAGGGTCGATTTATAGAGATTACTAATTTTTGCTTTAAAAATTTGTTCGCAACACCGCATAATGACCACCATTTCACTGGGTGGATCACTTATGCATTATGGTGTGCGGCTTGTATGCATTTTAAGTATATTGTTTATATGCAAGTCATTCTGAATTTAGAATAGGAAAAAAAATGTGTTTCAGAATTCACAGAATTGTTTCTCATGTGATGGGACTTTTGTGAGCATCAATTTGAATGTTGTGGGAGATGCCATCTGATTCAGAGATAAGTGTTATATTGAGGTCGCGCTCACAACTGAAATGTTTCTACATTACCATTGAGTGTATGGGCATCTTTAATATATATGTTATAGAGTGGGTTGTATTGTGGCGATGAGTGGGTATCTGTGAAGCGCAGTGCAATATGGCTGGTTGGTGATGGATGATGGTCCTTGTCATGTGAAAAGGAAAGTTCTGTGGGTGCATGAAAATTCGAACTGTTCGGTTGCGGGGGTTGTTGCCACCGTCGGCAAGGCTCCTCGTTGTGGGAAGGGTGAACAAATATGTAACCCCCGGGCGTTTCGTGTGTGGTGTGGCCCTGTGTCTGGCCGTGCACCAACCCGTTGAAGCATCGGCAATCGTAGATTTGCGCTTCCCGTGTGCACTCCAAATGGGGCCGTTTGATTTGCATCAACGGCTTTTCCTTCAAGAAGAGCAGACGCGCGAGCACTGTGCAGTGGAAATGGAGGCTTTGCAATGTGGCGGAATGGCAGGTAACGGCACTGTGCGCCATGAGTTCGGGGCACCGCGGGAATGGCCATTCTGCGAGGAATGAGCGGCGTGCGATGCCGCAATCAGCGGGGCTTGCGAGCCGTGAGTGCTGCTGTGGTCTGGGTGCCTCGGAGGAGTCGTGGGGAGTCGGGGCAACGTGTTGGAACCATCGCAAGGAGCGGGTCGGCGGCGGGTCCCCGGTGCAGCGGGCGCGAAGGGGTTGGAATTGGCACCGGGGGAACCGGGTTTGTCACGTGGGTGTGAAAGTGGAGTGTTGGTGTACGAGGAGATGTCACAACCAAGGAATCGGCCAATGGGTGGCTGCAAAGAGGGCAGGTGCCCCCACTTTTCCCCGTGTGGGCCATGCCATGTTGCCATGTTGACTGGACCAGGGGTCCTCTGGCGTGCTGGATAGGGGGGTGGCCCCCTGGCAAGTTGGCGTGTGGTGGCTCGACAGGGAATGCACCCAACCTATCCAAATTCCAATGATTTATAGGCCCACCAAGTTATAAAGTGGAAAGGATCCAGAAGTGGCAAAATTTCGGAGTTTTTCACAGTTGGAAGCGTGGGAGTGCCCATGTTCGCGACGCCGCATAATGACCATTGTTTCACTGGGTGGATCACTTCTGCTTGATGGCTTGCGACTAGTGGGCATGTCAAAGTGCGAATCGCTGCTTGAGATTGAAAGAAAAAAAATGGTGTTGCAAAAAATATTGTTATGGAACTTGCAAAGGTTACTCCCACCAAGATGTTATTTTCCTTGGTGGCCACACACAAAATGTTGCATTCCCTGGTGTCGCATTGTGCTGCTAGCCTATGTATACTCCTTTGCACTTGTCGGTGCGCGAAAATTTTTCTCCCACGGACTTTTTTTCACCGCGAAAATTTCTGCCGTGTGAACATTGTCGCTGCGCGACCTTTGCGTGTGGGGTACCGCCTTGGTTGTAGCCCGCTCGGAGGCCCAGCAAACTGAGGGTCCTTTGGCGTTGTGGGTGACCAGCAGGGCCTGCCCGAGTGGCCATCCGCGAGGCCTTGGAGGAGCGCCCGGATCGGCGCCCCACCGCCGCCCATTCGCGCCGCCCGCGATGGCCTAGGATGGGCCCCACCGGTGGCCCGGGTGTGCGCCAGCCCGAGGAGCGAGATGCGCCGCAAGATAAGCCCCTCGCGGGCGCACAATCGCGCCGCCCGCGCTGCCTTGAATCGCCCTGGTGGCGCGAATGGCCAGCCGATAGGCACGATAGGCGCGACAGGCGCGCCCACATTCGCCTGCCCATTCGCGCCCTCCGCGGTGGCCTGGAACGGCCTCCGCAGGCGATGCGAATGGGCACCCGCGAAGCGCAAGAGGCGCAGCAGGAATGGCGCCTCGCAGGCGCCCATTCCTATCACCCACGGTCGCCTGAAATGGCACCCGCCCATGGTGGGAATGGGTGCCCATGAGAGGCGACATGCGCCGCAGCATTCACGCCGCATCCGGAGCCACCCTGTGGGCCGTCCCCAGGGCGCGCTCCTTGCGCGTTCGACGGGCTCGATGCAGGCACAGATTCGGTCGCCGATCGCTTTGCAAGCCACATTGCGCCTGTGCCCTCGAAATGCTCCCAAAAACTTGTGGGCTCCATGGAGACTCGGCCAGCCGATGGCCACTGCCCTGCGAACCCCCCGCTGGCCAATTCAGGGCTTCTTTGCCACTCGGCGGGGGCCACACGCCGCAGTGCAAAGCCAAGAGGTCAAACTGCGTGCCAAGCGCCTCACCCACCCCTGAGGAGTGCCGAAAAGTTCGCGGGCAAAAAAAGTTCACGGTACCAAAATTTTCGCGGAGAAATATTTTCGCGCACTGGCTCGACCGCGAAATGCGCGAAAATTTTTCTCCCGTGAAAATTTTTCGGTATACAGTATAATTGCCAGTACATTCTCACCTCATTCTCTTGCCGTTTAACAACCTTACAGGAAAAATGGGCATAAGGCTTTCAAAATGTTGTATAGGCGTAGCAAACATTCCCCACAATACTACATGGGCATCCAAAATACTAATGTGCTAGAGGTTTTGTGACATGACATAGGCATAGCAAACGAGGAAGTGGCCAAAAAAAATGAATTTATGGGAGGTGGGCATACAAAGATGAAAAATACCTTATACCCATTTTTCCTGTAGTAGTGTTGTTTTATAGTGTTTTGGATATGGCCGCAAAATGTCAATGTGGCATTTCCATTGCATTTGATCACTTGTGACATAAGATGACTTGACTGCAGTGAACACCAAAGACAAGCCAAAGACCGCCACATGTGCTACCTAGCCATTTCTCGCATGTTACACTTCACATACATTGGTCCTTGACGGGTTGAGCTCGGTGGTTAGACACCGGCAACCGGAACAGGGATCACGACCAGTGGTCATATCCTTGCACCAAAACTACTAAAAGAAAAAACGACGGTCTCTCAGTGCGAGCATTGCCATCTCGTCGTGTTTGTTGGAGGCACATTGACCTAAACCCCAACGTTCGCAAGAGCCCAACCCGAGACCCCGCTGAAGATCCGCTCTTTTGCGTGACGTCACCGGCGGTACCCCGCCCCCCCTCCCCTGATTCGCTGCTCGCCACGGGGCATCCTCCCCATTGGTTGATGTCATCCTCCGATCCCCACCCCCTCACCTCCACGTAATCCGCCCACCTCAGCCCGAGCGAGATATTTTCAGCGGCCACATCCATTGACACACTTGGCCGGCGTGGGCCGGTGCGGCCCCCCCCCTGGCGCCCACCACAAGACTGCCAAATCAGGGCGAGGCGCGAGAGGACGTAATCCTCCCCACACCGGCCACCACACACGCACTCCAACCACCCAGGCGGGCGCCACACGCCCCCCTCACAAGTCGAGCGGCCCGCCGCCGTTGCAACAACGCAGTCTGAAAACACCCCGTCCGGGAGGCAGCGGGAAGACCCGCCGCCCCCTTGCCTTGAGCCTCTGCACGCCGCTTGGCTGCGAGCGACATGCCTGAGGCTGGGGTGAGCAAGTGGGTGGTGATCCCGTGCCCGGAGGAGGGCGGCGTGCCCGCCAGCACAGCCCAGTCTGAGGTCCTGGAGATCGCGCGCGTGGTGTGCGAGTTCTCACAGCTGGCGGGGCTCAACCAGTCGCTGGCCGCAGACTCGGGCGCATCGGTGAGTGTCCCCCGCTCCCCGACGGGCGCCGGCTGCGATTATCGAAGACGTCGACCTGACGGCCAGTTCGCAATCTCTGAGGCCGTGTATGGTCGCGAGAACCGCTGTGTGGATCTGCAGGCGAATGTTTTTACAGCTGGGATCGAGTTGGGAGATGATGAGTGGAGGGGAGATGGGCTGGTTGGCCTGGGTAGCTTTTGATGCGGCCCGGCGGTGGATGGTTTCGATTGGTCCGTCGCTGACACTCGGCGTGCTGTGACGACAGGCCGATGCGCTGAGTGGTGCGAGCCAGACAGAGCGCGACGGCGACATGGCCTACGACAGGGGAACCGTGAGTGTCGTGTGCGGGATGTCGCCATACCCCCCGCCACCCCGCTGTTAATCCCGAGCAAACCCCCCTTCTGCAAATTTGCAGTGCGGGCTGAGCCGCCGGTGTGTGTTCGCAGTACGGGAACGCCATCAACGAATACACGAAGGCGCTGAAGAGGGAAAACAGCGCCGCGCTGGAGGGGCAGCTGATGGCCAAGAGGAGCGCGGCATTTGCAGCGTGAGTGGGCGTATTCGCCGCCCCGTGGGGGCACACGGCGCTGGACGAGCTGCGCCACATTGGACAGTGCCCTGGCGCCCAATCTGGACACCGTGCATCGTTGTGGGACCGCTGGACCGGGAGCGCGCTCTGGTGCTCGCATCCCGTGCCCTTGCGGGCCCGTAAGTTTTGCGAAAGTCGAGTGCGACGCACAGATGTCTTCACGGGACTGAGGCGGCCCTGCGAGGCGCCGATGGGCCCATCGAGCATCTTTGCTGGCGTCGTGTCGCTGCCCGTTTGAAGCTATTTTTGTGTCTTGGTGCAGGCTGTCCACGGAGCTGCGGTTTCGACCGGCCACGGCGTCGGCCCTCTATGGCATGGACCCCTACGACCTCGCGAGGCTGGCGTTGAAGGACGGGCAAAGAGTGTCTGAGCTCTTCCCCAGGCACCCCGAGGGATACCTTAGACAGGTAGTGTGCAACAACTGGCCACAGCAGCGCTGCATCGGAACAGTTCTGCGCTCAACAGTACAGATTCCCCTCCCCTTTTGACCTTCGAAACACTGTGTCGTGGACGCGTTGCTGTCTTTGTCACAGCGATTCGTGTATGCCAGCCTAGCTGGAGGCACAGCGCCACCTGCATTGTGCGGCCATGCAGTTGACTTTCCCAAATGTACCTGCTAATTAGCAGCTCCAACACTACACAGCCATTGCCCCTCCGGCGTTTGGTGTATGCTGCTGCTCGCTGTGACCTTGCATGGTGTTCCTTCCTGTTGCTGAAGGGATTTGCTCACTACCTGCTGGAAAATTATGCCAAGGCGGAGGAGGCTTGTCTGGAAGGGCTGAGATGGGACATCGATCGTGATTCTCTTAAGGTATTCAGTTGTGACAGCCATCACAGGAGTCGAAGAACCCCACGACATGCATTCACTCTTGCACAGCTTTTGTTCAGTGCCAAATCTCTGTTGCTGTGAAAAGACTCTGCATCGTAGTTAGGTGATTGACGTATTGGCCTCTGAGTTGTCTGGCAAAAAAACTAGATTTGTGATCGTCGCTTGCCTCAGGCTGATTATGATGATCTTGGCTATGAATGGAATAGAATCGTTTAATTACATCCTGTAGTAGTATCAACGCGTGTCAGCGCATGCTGTCGTGCGTGCAATGTTGCAGCTGCTTGTGCACTGATTTTCATACAACATTTGTTGTGTGCTCAGAATTGCCTCAAATTGGTCAAGCACGCTACAGGCGATGCACAGCAGCAACAGGACCAAAGCGCTGAGTGCAGAATGTAAGGAGCATCAATCGTGCATGGTTAGCAAGATACATTATGGATCAGCAGAAAAGAATGTTTCCTGATTACTTCAATGTTGGCTGGCGCCCTGTGTCTTGGGTCATAGCAGCTATGATGTTAAACATGGTGGACGCATGCAGTATGGCAAACTGGCTATGTGGTATTCAGAGTGTGTACTGTCCTAGAACCTTGCACAACGATTGCAGAACTGCAATTTTTGCTTGACTATGTTGTTTCCAGGCCGTTGCAGGCATGTCGAGATGCCGACGATTTGGAGTGTGTACTGTGCATGAAGCTGCTGTGCGAACCAGTGACGACACCCTGTGGCCATTCTTTCTGTGCCCAATGCCTTCGCCGGTCCCTGGACCACAGCAACAAATGCCCATTCTGTCGAACGGTGAGGTCTCCAAATTAGTTCAGCATGGTGTTTGTTGTCTTGTGGTTATGCAGGCTTCAGTTTACCTAATGTTAACAAAGAATGTCGTCCACTTGCATATGGTTGACTTGGGTAACAACACTTAAACGGTTTGAGTTGCAGTCCATGCATTCAGTAAACAGCTGCTGTGTCGATTGAGAGGCCGAAGAACACTAGCATAGAATTTGTGCAAATTCCTACTGGTGTTGACTCTCATCCAAACATTTGCTTGCTTGCTTGCAGGTGCTCCACCTTTCTCAGGAACTCGTTGTCTCAGTGACTCTTAAGACTATCGTTCAAAAATCGTTCCCTGAGGAGTACGCAGAGAGGTTGCAGGAGACAGCAGGTAAAGCCTGGTGTGGGCTGAGAGAAAGGTGACATTACAGGGAACGTAGCAGTGCATGTTGGGCAAGTCAGGTGGCGTTATACAGTATTAGGATTTCGACAGTCCTTTCTCAGGATCAAGTTGGTAAGCGCTATGCGTTTTGCAACCGAGTGTCATATGCCATTCCATTTTAAGCGCTTTCTTGTGGGCTTGCTCACGTTCAAATTGTTGGGCTATCATGTCATCGATGCGATTGTGTTTCTGCCATCTGTGAACAGACCTTAATGCTGCCTCGTCCAGTGGATCTGCCATTCTGCCACTCTTCGTGTTGACAACCCTGATGCCAGGTGACGCGTCCAGCACACGATACGAACCACTGCTAGTTTTCCAGCTATGCACTGCGGCCCTTGTCAGTCAAGTGTTCTCCAATTGTGTCAGGACATGTAACAATTGCAGCTCAGTGGCCAGAATGCGCCTAAGGTAGTTGTTGCCTTGTTGACAGGTAGATTTCCACCTCTATTGCAATTTGGCTGCTGAGAGCATAACAGGGCCCTTGCACATATGTGCAAATTCAGGCACTTACCCACCCACATTTTGTTTATTTGGCAATGTGCTAACTGCCTATTATGATTGTCTGTTGGTGCTGAATGGCAAGCGCCAGTCATTGAAGGATGTGCCAACTGTTTTGCCCTGTCGCTGTGCAGTGTGAGCAGCTGCTGGCCCAATTATCTGCCAGGTCGAAATCTATCTTTGCAATAGGACTGGTTGCGAGTCCTTCTGGAACAACAGCAGGCAACGTTCTGTTCCATTTGCTTGCCCTGGTTGTTGGGGAAGCAGCGTCTGGTGGCTGCACCATCTCCCATTTAGCAGCTGAGCAGGCAACCTACTTTCCAACATTTAGACGTCTCCTGGGACTAAGTGTTAATATGTGAAGTATTACTGCCTTGCATATCTTAGGCGATTTAGGTGGTTTCTGTCCGTGAATGTTGCATTTCGGCAAGGTTGCGTCATGCTGAACGAAACTAAATGGGCAGGTGAGAAGATGGCCCTCAACATTTTCGAGCCACGGTACCGGCTCATGGTTCGGAGGGTCATGGCTGGTAGCCGACGGTTCGGGATGGTGAGGAGAAGCAATGATCCTGATGGCATGGAGAAGGTGGCGTGTGAATGTGAAATCACCGAGTGTGAACCACTGCCGGATGGGTAAGTGCACATACTCCCACCATTTGCGTAGTTTGGAAAGAGCAAGACCCGAAATCAGGTGCAGAATTTAATCACATTTCAATAGGAATATTGTGGGCCCTCTTCAACGAAAATGAGGCACCATGGACGAGGCATGTATGAAACCAAGCAGCATGCACAAAGCATCAGATCTGTGTTCTATGGAGAATGGATATGTTTGGAACGGCCCACAGACCATTGCCTTCCCCACCCCCACCCCCCCTCTCGGCCAGACCTGCCCTGTACCTCAATCTTCATACCAATTTTGGATTCCAAGAATGTTTGTGTCTTGCCTCTATCAGCCGATACTACTTGGAGGTCGTCGGTAGGCGGCGAATCCAAGTCCAGGAGCTCTGGGAGCAGGATGGTTACAGGGTGGGGAAGGTTGCACAGATGCATGACGAGACGCCCACCGATCCACGCCGGGTGGCTGAGTTGTCTACAGAGATCAAGGCCAGCACATCCAACTTTCTGTTGCTGCTTCGCAGCGTCTTGTCCAAGCATGGGCCCCACAACAGCGTGCTGGCCCTCCTTGGCCGCATTAGCGAGGAGCCTATGGCCAGCGACCCGGAGATGATCAGCTTCTGGGCGGTGAGGCGCACCCACATGTCGCTGCATGAGCTTCTTTGCACCATTTGCTGCCGTTGCTGTTGATGCTGATGATGGGTGTCGCGTCCCAAGTTTGTGCATCGCAGTTTGTTTTATCTGTTGTTTGCTGTCTTCACAGCATTGTAGTCGCTGTGATCGTTTTCATTGTGGGCATGCGTGGAAGATGGGGCGGCCATGGCCAGGGTCAATGGCCTGTGTCTGGAATTGCTGTCCTTCCCCTTGACAGCAGTTCGTTGGAGAGTGAGCTGAATGCAGTTATTGCTGTTCAGGCCTGCTTGCTCCCCACCGCCTGTCCGCAACGCAGCCTTCTGCTGCAGACGACCTCCACAATAGAGCGGCTGCGTTGGCTTCAAACACACCTCAAGCAGCTGTGGGAAGCCAAGAAGGAATGGAACATAAAATGACACCCATCGAGACATTTTGATGTGCCAAGGGATAAGCCAGGGAGAGCGGGTGTCCCCTTCAAATGTTTGGTTGTCCGGAGGTCTGCATGGGATTTTAAGTGCGGCACAACGCATGTTAGCGTGATTTGGCTTATGGAGGAAGCGGTTGAATCCTCAATGGATGAATTCTAGCTGCAATAGTGGGCAGCGCAAAGGTGGAATTGATTTCGAACATGGAAGTCGCCTGTACAATTTTTTCTCCTCGCTGCCATGGTCGCCAGTCCTTTCTGCCTTATCGAGGCGATCGGCATCGCTGATGGCGATTGGCAAGAAGGCTCAATATTCATTGTTTGCTACATTCTTTTCTGTATTTGTGAACGGGTCTGGAATTTAAAATTTTGATTGATTCGTCTGCAGCTGCCACGCCCATCTGTACAATCAAAGCTGACTCCGCCTGGGAAGCACATAACATGCTGTTCGAGTTACCGCAAAATGTGCTGTAATAAACAGCCATCTTTGCCATTATGGTACTCGTTCTGGTTCATTCACAACGACTGCCGATGACCTCACTGAATGGGATGGCCCGAGTATGCCACCATTTCAGCCATAGAAAACGCACTTGTCGACAGTGCTGTAAGGGGCAAGTAGCGGATGCACGATGGGCACAGAAAAGTGTGGTAAGAACCGCAGAGCATTGCAAGGAAATGAGGCTGCACCGACTGAAGTCAGATGGATAAAGCGTAATATAGCAAAATGCCGGAAAGATGATAGGGGTGTACTTCCTTACGAGGAATTGCGCATACAGTACAGCAGTAACTGGGAGCTCCGCCTAACCGGGAGCTCTGCGTGGGGGTCGTCAGAGAGATCCCGTCTCACCCACGGGATGCGGCAACGAAGGATGCAGCAACAACAGTGCGCGGAGCGGTTTTGCTTGCACGCCTGGCCGCGGAAGAAAGCAAAACGCCATGACAAGGGTGCCGTGACCCCTCGCCGTGTGGCACCATGAGCTGGAGTGGGAGCTTGCGTAGGCAGGGTGCTGGTTGGCGGAGTGGTGCATTGTGCGCCCGCAGGATGGGCACCTGGAATGGCGGGTGGAGTGCTCCATTCGAAGGAAGAAAATGGCAGAGGACCACCTAACAGTCTTCCCGCCGCTCTTCGTGTATTCCAAGCCACGCAACTTCGTGCAGGAACTCGATGCGTGGGCGCAGGAACTATGGGGACGTGGCGTGGACATGGAAATGCAAACCGAAGGAGGCGTTGTAGCCCTGCTGGATGCGGAAACCCATGAGGACATCTGCGGCTGGCTGGAGTGAGCCGCCGAGCGCCGCCGAGGTTGGGAGCCAATGTGTCTGGTCACCAGAGCCCTTCTCCATGAGCTGCAGGCTGGAAACATGGCCTAGCTGTCGGGATGAGGGGCAGTGCCGGTGCTCTTCTCGGTTGCGTACCAGACTGAGGTTCAGCCAGAGATACGGTGGGGCGTGCGGTTAGAGGTGGCGCCCCAGACCAGCAATGCATGGACTATGTAGGGCACAGGAAGGAGTCATAGAGAGGCATTCTGGGAGTGGGACTACGAGCGGGTCTAGCGCAACGGACGGGCTTACGGCCACTTCACCAAGAGGTTGCTGCGCGGACTTCATGGCTCGGAGGTAGCCTAGAAGCGGGCGGTGAGCCGGTAGAGTAGCATGTGTATTAGGTGGAGTTCTCAGTGTGAAGGGGTACCTGGCACCAGAGTAGGTAGCTCCAGGGGAACGATGGGGCCACAGGAGTTTTGCGGAGGATAGTGGTGGAGTTCCGGGAATGGAACGTGGGGTGAGGTTCGGAGTGAGCGAGAAGGGGACACAATGTGTTGCAAGAGTATTTAGTCAGTGGTGACCGAGAGGGCAGTGTCTTTTTGTTGAACAGACCCGAACAAGTTTGTAAGAGCTTTGCCGTTTGTCCACTATGTGTGCCACCTGCGAGCTTGCGAAAACTCTCTTGTGAGACCGCAGTTGGAGCAACATGCTCGGAGCACCTAGACCAGCTGGGGCACATGGGGCACTGCCGTCTCGATTGTCAGGACCTCATCGATCGCCGGTTTTGACCGGTCATGAAGGTAGGTGTGCGCAGCAGCGCATGAGTGTGTGCTTTGACAGAGGCCGGGGCAGTTCCGACCCTTAACCGACAGTACATTCTGGGCGGCCCAGAATGCTGGGTTACCTAGCATGAGTTACGCGGAGACTCAGGGCTGGGTTGGAACTCGAGTGCATGTTACCCTTGGTAGGCACTGCCGTGAAAGGATACTAAGCTGTAAACATGGTGTGATGGTCTGGGGACAGAAATTGATCGTGGGGTTGGAATGTATGAGAAGTTACTAATCCATCTTAGCTACTGACTCATACTGATTGAAGTACAGTGCTTTTGGAATGTGTAGGCTTGCATGGTATATGCAAGTCTAGGTCACAAACTTTACTAAAGTGGTGATTTCATAATGGTGGACTAGACAGGCTGGATTTGGCGTAATCCGTTGTGTATATCAGACTAACTCCAGTATACGGAAAGCCATAACACCTAATTTTGCAAGGTGCTGCTATCTATATAACTGAGGGCGGCAGGTCCATTTGTGGGACGTCACTTACCACCACCTGTACGACTTCGCGTACGGTGGAAAGTGTGCTGCTGTCTTTCTTTAAACCTCGGACACAGCCAATTGCCCGGGAGTGCTGGGAAACCGCTTAAACTGGCTTTGTGCTCGAGCGCTTGGAGTACTACAGCTGCAAATGCATTAAATGGTGGTCATTTGTTGGTAATGTGACAATGCCCATCCAAATGTCTTCTTGAAGGAAATGGCCGTTGATACGATTCAAACGGCCCCCTTTGGAGTGCACACGGGAAGTGCGAATCCATGATTGCGGATGTTTCAACGGTCTTGGTACATGGCCAGATGCAAGGACATACCACACACAACACGCCCAGGGTTTATATAATTAACTATCCTGTTAATGAGTTTCTGCCTAGGACGACGATGGGTGGGCGCGGATCGGCCAGTCTGGGCCGTTCCGTGTCTTTGGCCAGTTTTGGGGCCATCACTAGGCTGGTTTCTGTCACCCCTGTACTCGGGGTCAGTTCTGCCCGGCGGATCCAAGGGCAGTTGGGTTGAGCCTTGTACCTTGGACGCAGCCAAGGGGACCGGTCAAGCTGGCCCTTGGGTTTGGCGGGGAGTTTGGCGGCAAGTGGGAGCGGCTATTTTAGGCGCGACCCTTGGCGCCCCCCTTTATCTTGTTTCGCACCCGCCCAGCCCACCCTAATAGAGTGAGTTCGGTTAGCTGTGGGATGGAGAGGGAGTTGAGTACGAGGAAAGGGGAGCTGATTCTGGGTTGAGTCACCATCAGAGTGGCATTGAGTACTATGCGAAGCGAGGGCACGTTCAAGTGGGCACGTTCAAGTGGGTCGCCTATCGGGTCTTGTTTTAGTAAGGTGAAGGACACCAAACTGTGTGCATGTAATGTATTGTCGTGTGGGGAACGGTGGTTGAAGGAGACCGGTAAGGCAGAAACATATTTGTTCACCCTTCCCACAACGAAGAGCCTTGCCGACGGTGGCAACGGCCCCCGCAACTGAACAATTCGAATCTCCTTGCACCCACAGAACTTTCCTTTTCATGTGACAAGGACCATCACCCATCACCAACCAGCCATACCGCACTTCAGAGATGCCCACTCATCGCCACAATACAAACCACTTTATAAAACATATGTCGAAGGTGCCCATACACTCAGTGGTAATGTACAAATATGTACAAGTCGCACACCTTAAGGCATAAGTGATCCACCCAGTAAAACGGTGGTCATTATGCGGTGTTGCGAACAATCTTCCATTGCGTTCATCTTCGAACATCATTCTCGTTTTTGTTTCCATTTCTGCCGGGCCGGGCTTCTTGTCCCACCCAGGTCCACACACACACTGGACCAATACATTGCACGACATTGTTTGTCCCAATACAACCCGAGGTACCCACAACTTAGTGTGCCCAATCGCTTTGCTAGTAGTTAAGCCAGTCCCATACAAGACTCAACCCTTGAGTCAGACCCACCACTCCTCATTTCCACGTCCTTAACTCCCACACTTGCCCAAATCAACCGAACATCACCCTAATAGGGGGGGCCGGGCGGGAAGCGAAACAAGATAAGGTGGGGACCGAGGGGTGAGCCTAAGTAGCCTCCCCGCTCGCGCCCGCCAAAGCCCGCCGCTCCCAAGGGCGCCAAAAAACCACTGGCCCTCCTTGAACGCGACGGACCAGCCACTGACCCAAGGTACAGGGGGACAGAGACCCCAAGGGGCCGCCAAAACTATTGTACTTTAAGCAGCGCTGTCCCAAGTGGGTCATCGCGCCCGCCCCTCGTCGCCCTGGGCGGAAACCACTTAACAAGATAGTTAATCCAATTTCCACCGGGCCGGGCTCCTTGTCCCACCCAGGTCCACACACACACTGGACCAATACATTACACAACATTGTTTGTCCCAATACAACCCGAGGTACCCACAACTTAGTGTGCCCAGTCACCCTCAAACACACTGCGCTCCTCCGGAGCAGAAGATGTGGCCATACCTGTCATGCAAGTCCCGGGCGGTAATCGTCATCCACCCGAAAAGGCGATAGTCCCACTCTGATGGGATGCGATACACATCGATGTACCGCCAGAGGGCAGCGCCCCGCCAGTCGCCCCAGTGGCGGATGCGCTGTTTGGGCACCTCCAAGGCGAAGCAGGCCGACGCCCCACCCGCGCGTACACCATGGTGATCGAAAGCGCCCAGGTGCAGGTCGGGAGAGGAGGCCAGGAGGTCCCGAAACCAGGAGGAAACCGTGCGGGCGGATGGGTCGCGTTCGCCCGGGAGAGTGTAGAAATGCGACGGCGTCCCACCCGCATCCGCCCAGGCGCGATCCCGAAAGGCGCCCCAACGCAGAAGTAAATTCACCAGCTCGGGGGCGCCCTGCGAAGGCCAGGAACGGAGGCGGACAGCCGGGTCTGAATCGGGCTTGAGCT